AAACCATTTCAGGTGACTACCTCTTGAAGCTCATGGAGAGAATGCCAAGAGTGTGCAAAGCAGTAATCAGAGCAAAGGGTGGCTATTTTGAAGAAACTAGAATATAAAACATGTTTTCAGTTATTTCACCTTTTTTTGTTAAGTACATAACTCCACATGTGTTCATTCATAGTTTTGATGCCTTCAGTGAGAATCTACAATGTAAATAGTCATGAAAATAAAGAAAACGCATTGAATGAGAAGGTGTGTCCAAACTTTTGGCCTGTACTGTATATATATATATTAGGGCTGCCACAATTAGTCGACTAATCGATGACTAATCAACTATTAAAATAATCTGTGACTATTTTAGTAGTCGACTAATCGATTTGAGTCATTTTTCATAGAAAAGTACTATAAAAGTACCCCAAAATACTCTTACTGCAGCTTCTTACGTTCAGATATTGGCAGCTTTACACACTCTCCCATGATAGTGAACTAAAACCCTTTGGCATGAGTACAAAACAAGACATTAGATGACGTAATTTTGGGGTTTGGACAGGAGAGACTGACATTTTTCAACATTTTAACGCATTTTTCGATGAAATGATTAGTCGCCTAATCGAAGAAATAATCGACAGATTGGTCGACAATGAAAATAATCGTTAGTGGCAGCCCTAATATATATATATAAAAAACACTGTAACCAGGTCTCTTAATACATCCATGGTGTCAACAGAGCTAAGTGTGTTAATTGGGAGGGAAGCAAAAGGTGGGCTCTGCGTTTCTGTGACGCTGCTGTCCCAAGATTAGCGGTAAATGACACAGGTGCAAATGTTCTGGTTGGCTCTCTGTCGTTTCTGCTAAATTTGGGCTAAATTTATGCTCTTATGTCTGTTTTGCAAGTGTTGGTGGTGCTTTTTGTGGTGTGCGGCTGCGAGTCACTCAACAGTCATAGCCATTGTACTGGCATCAGATAATAAACTAGATAATGTACCTGCATCAGTTTCCCACAGGATATCAGGAACTGTAATATCCTGTGTATCAGCAAAACTTTGCTTAGTTCTGGAAGCGCCATTCAACCAGGTAACTCTTTTCTATATGCCGACATGCCAACAGAGCAGAGGATTCTGAGAGGAGGCGTGTGCTTTATGGTGAATAAGGACTGGTATGACAGAGGGAATGTGAGGTGCTGTCCCATTCCTGCTCGCCCTGCATCACAAGGGGAATAAGCATTATAAATCACTGCTATGCGCCATTCAGAGGCAGCCACAGAGTGGAGTTGCTGCCCGAGTTCAAGGGGAGTGACCATGCGGCCATCTTGTTGAGATCAAGATATGTTAACAAATTACAATACATGCCCTGTATGCAAGAGATGGAGCCAATCATAGTCCAGAGCCGTTCCAGGATACAACCGTTAATGTTACCAATGACAGCAATCAATTCAATGTGTTTGCAGTGGATTTAATTTGTAAAACAACAGAAGCAACTGTACCCCAGTCTACAGTTAATTATGCCATAATCAGAAACCATGAATTACCACAACTATGTGGGACTCCATTAACACATACTGGAGCCTGTCTGGAAACATGGACAATTATAAAGCAGCAGCCTATAATGTAGTAAGAGGCAAAAATGACTAAATTACAGTGCACAAGTTGAAGGAGCTGACATGATCACATTTCACTGCAGTTGTATCTTATATGATTTAAAGTTACAAATGAATAATTAATTGACTGAACCACCATATGATTGCATAGCAGCAGAAGACGTGTGGCTGGCCCCTTTACTAAACAACTCACAGAGAAGCTCACATTACACAGCACACACACACACGTCAACAACAAAAAGTAGAAAGACTGATTTCCTACTTTACAGGTCAAGGACTTAATACCAATTTATGCTGTAGTTTGAGGTATTTGTTCCTCCACTATGCTCTATCTGTTTCTATCTAATTCTTGTATCTGTTTTTTTTTTGTTGTTGTTGTTGTTCTGCTGTCACACATAATTACCACTGGAAATCAGTTCCTATCTTATCTTGTAACTTCAGTCTAGCCTTCCTGTTCTAAATGATTTCTTCTCCATTTTTCCCTCATTCGATAGCTGACAACAGAGACAGGCAGGAAACACTAAGAGACAGTTAGAGGGGTGACATGTAACAAAGGCACCCAGCTGGAATAAAACCAGGACCATTACAATTATTGAGCCTGAGGCCACTTCACCACTCGGACGCCTAACATAAAATGCTACATGAATTAGCTCCACCAGATGTTAAACAAGTTTAAAACCCTATGTTCATAAATTACCATGTATGTCTAAAAGTTACGGAAATATTGTCCGGTAATAAAAGCTTCCCAAATGATTACCTGGCCTTTCTCTTACATGAGCTGCCACTGGGCAAACTGGCTGTCTTATAACCTTAAAGAGTAACTCCTCACTAAAGTTAATGTGAAGACACACTACTGCACCAACCTCAAAAGGTTGAAATGTCCAAGCCTTCTAGCAGTGACAACCATCATCGCAGTTAGATGTGGTCTGTTCTGTTTTACTTGTAAATGTGATGTTCTACTATGGTGTCATGCACAGTGTGCAGACAGAACATGCTACTACCATTAGATTGCAGTGTAAGCAGGATTTTAAACCTGGGTGTAGTTACTCGTCAAATGTGGATGAGTATGAATCAGGCCCCCAGGAACACTGCTCAGCCATGCTTCCAATTTTTCGCAGTGGCCAGTTGCTGTATTAGAGCAGAGGGGGAAAAAGTGGACTAAAAGCATTTTCCCCATAGACCACTGATAGAAAAGAGACATCTTTTAAACTTATGACAGGCAACCTCAAACTGCAAACACAGTCAATTATGACCCTTTCTAGTATGAATTCTTGAGCCATGAAGGTTTTTTATTTGTACAACTTTCCTGAAGCTGAGAAAAGCAATTCAGAAATCTGTGATATGTTCACAATGTGATGTCTATGAGCTGAGCAGGAACACATGGGCGGAGCCAGCAAAAGAAACACTACTATGCAAATTCAGTGGGTGACAAACCCCAAAAATAAAACCCAGAAGCTAGAAACTTTTTTTGGCATATGCGCTAGACAAGCAATTCCATTGCATTGAACAGGCACCATATTGCAGTCTGGTATCTAGCTATTATTATTATACATGTATGGTATAAAGCATTAATTGTGTGAGGTGTGTGATGTCTTATTAATGTTCTCATGTGATGTCACTTGAATCAACATCAGTGCGGTCCAAAGAGTACAAGTTTGACAATGAACAAAACTGTTGGCCATCAAGTTGCATTGTGGGTAATGTAGGCACCAGGTTTTTACAAGGAAGTAAAGACGCTTTCTCCTGTTCTGCTTCCATTGTGAGTCTGACAGTGTTATAGGAGTGCAATGCTAAATCAGTAGAGTAGGCTTCTCTTTTTAAGGTGCTAATGTAACGTTAGATTTTTTTTCATATATTTGTTGTTTTTTTATGGCCAACGGATGAACGGACTTGGGACAAATTTTGCGGGAAAAATCCAAAGGATGTGATGTTATGCACATTCCCCATGGATGTATTTAGAGACCTGGATACAGCACTGAAGACGGGTCCCCATTCATTCCTATGAAAGTTGCTCAGTGGCACGTGAAGCCAATAAAGCTCTATTTCTGCAGTACCTCGATGACTGGCACTGCTTCCGCATCATTGGGCCCACAGAGCAAGTGCACTAGTGACTTTCACTGGCCGAGCTGGCTTCTTCCACTGAACTGAATGAAAATTAAGTGATTTAATCTTGCTGTTCTTTTAGACTTTCCAAATGTTATCGGACCGAATGGTTTAACTCCTGACAGTGGATCGTGTCATTTCGCAGGAATTGTGACGCTCAAAAAAATTGATCCACTGGTTTACAGATGTCTTTTTACCAATGGAAGTCTATGGTCTATGGCCTAAGTCTTTTTGAGCCCAGTGGTACCACCAGAACAGACCTGAGAGTTGAAATTTCACTGTATGGCCACTGTGAAAATTGGCTTCAAAGCCCAGCACACTTCTGGGGGCCTGGCATTCCCAATTGCCTTTCCTCGCTTCAGCTCTGCTACAGCGCTAACTGTGTACAACACTAGCTAACATTAGTTAAGAAAGGGATTCTAGATTCAAGATTCAAGATTCAAAGTGTTTATTGTCATATGCACAATGAGGAAATACGTTTCCCTGTACACTGAAATTCTCCCATTGCTGACTGCAATGAATACCAGAAAAAATATCAACTAAATCCACACTCAATTAAATAGATAAAAAAGTAGGAACAATATAGATAAAAAAAATACGAAGGGAATATACACAAAAGGGAATATCATCTACTAACGTCAACAAATGAACGGCACACACCACAACCTAGAGTCAATGCTGTGTTTCCGTTATGGTGGGCCTGCCGACGCAACCGAGCGCTGGGGGTGTGATCCCTGACCACCGACTAAAACCAATTAAGCAAACTTTCTGTTGCTGCTGTTACAAGGGTTAGACCCAGCACTGCCATTGTGAACCTCAGGGCTGGGGTCTTGGCTAACATTAGCTTGCTTGTTAATGCGAACAACTGGCTAGTTAGCTAAAGTAGCAATACTACTGAGTGATTAACATCATCTTATTCATCAAGACTCCAGAGCTGATCTGGCTGGTAAATTGGGTAGTTTGCCATTTGGTAATTAATTTATCAGCTAACTTTATGAAGCAACTAACACTACTGGGGATGAATAAAGTTATTCTTATTCTTACTAACACCAGTTCCATAAAGCAGAGCTTCATTTAAGCTAGCTGGCTAACCTTAACTTGCTTGTCTGCTAATGTTATGACTAGCAAAATACTGTAAGATTGGATACGTCAGTTGGCTAGCTTGCCAAAATACTTCACAAGCTAATGTGATTCATGATACCAACTTCTAACGTATGTATTATGATAAATGGTATGTAGCCAATAGTAAATGATACAATGATACAAATTGCTTTGTACTAGCCAAAAGTGATGCAGAGGGCTTCCAACAAGCTAATATCATGGAGCCAATGGTCCAAATTAAATGTAGTAAAACTGCAGACAGTACCGCTTTTCTAAATAAGTAATTTATTTTTTAAGTAACTAATTTTTCAGCATTCTATCAACCTGATAACGGTAAATCACAGTCAGCCTTGTGCTGGTCACTGTTTTGGCCAATGCTCTAGGCTCGCTCGTGGCTATGGACTGCAAGCCTGAGCAACTGGTTGCTGACTTCAGTTCACATAAGAAGAGAGGTGTCACTAAAAACAAGGATTTTCTGATAGTTACAGCTAATAAAAACAGACTTTTTTTTATCTGATTAAAGGTTATCTTTATCTCAGTGACAGGAACTTCAGTGTAAAAGTCAGATGTACAACAAGTCCATCACCCCCCTGGCCTATACAGTCTACCCTAGGCACACTAGGCTGCCCCACCCAACCAGTACCCAATGCCAAGGGTACCAGCCAGATGTGACTAATCCACACTAATGCAGCTTCAGCTCAGTTTTTAGGTCAACAGCCATCCCTGGCCACATGTTACCTTGTGTAATAATGATTCCAGTGAGCTCCAAGCAGAGCGGTACACATATTTTGAATTCGGGGGAAAGAGAGCACTGGTATTGGTTATGTGCTATCAGCGGACACCAGGGGATTAAAAGTCACAGCAGAGATAGAAGTACTACCTTCATTCAGTCCTTACCAACATCAAATCTTAACCTTACCTCAACTAACCCCTAAAACAATTATTTAAAATATATATATGTTACCTGACATAAGGGTTTTCAATCTTATGCCCAAATCTGACCCCCCAGCTTGGTGAGCCAAAATGAATTCACACAATTTGCATCTCATTTACATACTTTGCATCATAGCATTTCCTTTACCAGACAACCACTGACTGGTTAAATCATCCTTTTTCTGGTTATGACTGCACTGCAGCTTTTCAGTCAGCCCATACATTAAAACCATGGGTTATCATGCAGACCTCTGAATAAAAGAATCAAATGACAGGAGCTCCTCTGCACCTGGTTGTCTGGGTGGTGGTGATGGTGGTGACGGTGATGTAAGGTGGAGGTAATTGTGATGCGAGGACAGGTGCTATAGTGGATTAAATCATTTGCTTTTAAAATATTCACCTTGAAGTGACTAACTTTTCATATTAATCAGCAGTGAGAGTGACATCATTGTCAGCATGGCATGTGCAGCTGCAGGCAGACAGACAGAATACAGTGGGTGGTGCCACATGACTTTGATCTATATCATATCAAACAATAATGGAACAGACGTTACTATAACAAACTCTATATACATCTACACATTTGATTGCAATAAATTTATGTAATAATGTGTAATTACTGAATTTGTTCCAGCTGGTTAACATCTAGCAATATCTGGAGTAAATGGAGCCTCACTAATTGAATAAAGCATCGATAATAAAATCTATAAGGCGTGTATGAATAATAAAAAAACATTATTCTGAGTGTACATGTAATAGGCGGCTCTGTGCTCTCTGTCTCTGTAACGTCTGCCTCCAGGCCGGTGGACCGTTACTCGGCCTTGAATCAAAGTGCGGCACAAAAGGCAGAACATGTGGATATGCTGAGGTGTGCAGGACAAAGCCTTACCTTCCAGCGGCAGCAGCAGCGCCAGCAGCAGGCACAGTGACCACAGAGAGCGGTTAGCCATCACTCCGGTCTCCACACACACCAACAGTCGGTACAAAGTGAGAATACAGCGGCTAGATCACGGGATTTGTCACCGTTCCGTTTTTCTCTGCAGCCTTCAGTTCAGCTCTGTCTCACTCGAAAGCCGCATACAAGGCGTTCACTATGGCACCCTGAGACACTCCCACACGGTGCCACTTCCTGCCAGTCCTTTCAAAATAAAATCAGCTACGGTTTAATTTTGCCCAAGTGACAAATGTCAGCAACGCTGAATGATCCTAACCTGATCTAAAAGTGCACAATACATACGGATGTGCTACAATTTAAAGCCATCTCTGCTTAGACATATAGATAATATATATAATTATATAAACACAGCAATAAATGATCGTGTGTGTGTGTGGGGGGGGGGCTAGCTCCAGTCTGTGCTTTTCATTAGCATTCTGCTCACACAGGAAACCATCACAGTTTCTCTGAAGGATAGCAGATCGTGTTTCAAAACCCAGAAGGTCGTTTAAAAACACTTACCATCGTTATTTATGTATTTCCAGAATCTATAAAGACTCTTCAAATCATCTGGATGAAATTTTTACAACATATTTTCTTTATCTTTATCTTTTTTTTTTATTTTTTATTTTTTATTTTTTTTGAGAAATCATCAGTTACCACTGTGCAGGGCTGTAATCACCTAACAATGGGGGGGACTCTTAGAAACCTAACAATTATACTGACAATTTTAGAGCATTTGGAAGCAAAAATCTTTGATCAGGAGTCCTCAAAGTTTTCATATTTTAGGGACCATACACATGTTGGTTTTTTGTGCACTCAAATTCATTGTTTTCAATGTAAACATGTGGCAGGCGTGCTCAACCACCAGAGTGCGCTCTGAAATAAACGGAGTTCAACTTTTGGAACATCGCAGCGTGCACCGCATGTTATGTGAGGAGGACTAACCAATCACAGCTGGTAAATATGGAAAAGAAGGTGATCATATTAGTTAGGGATGAGCAAGTAAACAACATTATCTGTATCTGTATTTGTCCCAGAAGTGGGTTGAGTCTAATCAGAAGTTATTATTTTAAGCCTGAAATTTAAATGGATTAATCAGAAGTTGCAATATCTATTACCAATGAGATAAGTATTTACAGAACAACCTCAAAATAGCTTCAGATAATCACAAGAGTAATAGATTAAACACAGCCACCCAAATGAGGATTTTTCTTTATCACAAGTACAGATAATGACGCATTTTACTCGTATGATACTCATAAAAGTACATTATCCATACCTAATACTAGTTTCATATGAGTATTTGGCTCAGCCCTCATTTTAGTGCAGGGCTGCGAGGGCTTTATATCTGTCCCTCCAACAATATATTTGGCCCAATGTACACTTACAAAACAACACCTAGAAGAAGATCAGCTCTGCATTTAGGATTTCTGGTTAGTAGGCTACGGTGCTGGTTATGGATGCTTTGCAACCTCAGACACAACCTGCCACCACGCCCTTGAAAGTTGCCACAGAGTGAGTACAGAGTAGCACCTAGTTCCCTACCTCGTGTTTTCCAGACGGATAAAGATGTGACATGTGTACAGTCCCTTTGGGAGCCAGCATATGATTGAAGACCACACAGGAAAAGTGCACACACTGATGCTCCTTTTCCACCAAAATTAGCGTGTGAACACTGGGTATGTTGAACACCGGTACCTGCTAAAAATAGGCTATAGGCTTCTTTTCTAATGCCAGTCAAGCAATGTGTATATGGTTCTGCGGCACACAAGTATGACTTTCCGTGTGTGTGGGTTTTGTTTTTGGTGTGTCACATTCAATGTCACGGACAGGTCAGAAAACAGGTTGGCAGCATGGAGGCCTGTAAAACTTGACGGTGGTTACTTCTTTTTATGTATTTCTTACTTATTCAGTCTCTCTTTTAAACTCAGTGCAGACTAATCTGGAACAATGTTTGAGTGCTGCTTGGGTGTAGACAGATGGTATTTTGTGGTGGTGCGTCACTGCATCTCGCTGCTAAAGGGGCTAAATTAATGCATTCACACAGGTGTTGTGTCTCCATCACTGCCGTTCAAAGCCAGAGCCGATAAATACTGATACTAAAAACCCACATGTGTGCTGTTTTTTTGTGCAGTGGAAAAAAGGGGCTTGACTTTTTCCTGTCTTTCTCATGTCATACTATACTATGACATTTGACAATGTTTTTTTTAATTACCTTTTATGACATAATATAAGATGACTTTTTCATTAGCCTCCCTTTTTTATGACATACTAACACTTTACAATAACTATAATGGACAGTGATACAGCCTTGGCTGTGTAACACTCATATTATATTTTAGCTTTCTACTTTTTAATAAATTGAAATGTAATATGATAGAAGCCCTTTTAACACAGAGATCACACCACAGGGCCACTACAAACTCCATCCATCCATCTTCTAACCACTTCATCCTCTTGAGGGTCGCGGGGGGGCTGGAGCCTATCCCAGCTGACATTGGGTGAGAGGCAGGGTACACGAGAGGCAGGGTACACCCTGGACAGGTCGCCAGACTATCGCAGGGCTGACACATAGAGACAGACAACCATTCACGCTCACATTCACACCTACGGACAATTTAGAGTTATCAGTTAACCTAATGTCTTGGACTGTGGGAGGAAGCCGGAGCCAGAGAGAGCCCACGCTGACACAGGGAGAACATGCAAACTCTGCACAGAAGGGCTCCCACACCCGGGATCGAACCGGGAACCCTCTTGCTGTGAGGCGACAGTGCTAACCACCACACCACCGTGCCGCCTGCTACAAAGTCCCCTCCTCATTATGTCTACTTTGCATTTTTACACAGAACCAACAGCAGCCTCATAATGCTCCAATGTGTGATTTTAAACAGTATGCTAGAAGAGGCATGACAGGCCCTCTAGCATGACATATACACGTCGGCAGCGCTTCATAAACAATAGCAATAGCATAACATGGCAATACCAATCATTCACCGTCCATTATTTGGGGGCAGATCTGGTTCTCTGCTCAGAGGGTAAGGAGCTCCTGGACCTCATTTTTTTCCCAATCTGTAGACATTTTCAGCTGTTGTTCTTCTTCGTTAAGTTAGCTGCTAACTGCTATCAACTACTTTTTAAATCTCACTTGGTAGGTCACACGCATAACACGTCATCAAAACGTACCACTGTACCACCCATGATCCTGTCTTGCTGGCTGTCCGGTTTACACAGATATCGTTTCGGCTCTGTTACTACCTCTGATGGTGACTTAAGGCAAGATAACTCTGTCCCCTCATTCCGCAATTGTACCTTTTATACAGAATGATGAGGCAGCATAACGGGGTAAAATTCCTGCATCGAAGAGGCAGGGAAAAAGGGGCTAGAGAGGCAGTACAGTGTCTGGCATTGATTGTAGCCTGCCTACTCAGTCAAGCAATGACTCTTGCTGGAGTGCGACGACACTGCTTGCACAAACCACATGCAGAACTCCAGTACCCTGTAATACTACAACCAGTAGTAACAATGGCCATTTATTAAGTTCATTTATGATTATTAACATGCTAATGATTGTGAATTTGCTAATGGATGGCATAGCAAGTTTATTTTCTTTATATTTTCTATCAATACATTTTGAGCATGTAATTGAATATTGGGGGGATGTGTCCCTCTCACTAAATACTAGTCACTGCAGAGCCTCTGTGACTCAATTGTATGAGAGGCACAAACTGGAGCTAATGTCAAATTTGATTTTTCCCCAAACAGTTCACAAGATTCTTTAAAAAGCACATCTATAGTGGCTTTCCATTTAGTCACTGGTGCTGCAGTGTCTGCAAACGTAATTGACTTGTGCCATAGGCATCAGCTGTAACGCACAAACCAAAATTTCTAGAAAAGTTCCAGTACTCTTTTGCCTTCCTGATATCGGTTCCGATACCTGAACTTGTGTATGGGCTGATACCAAGTATTGATCCGATATCAATACTTAAAAAATGTAACAGATGTATACTAAGAACCCTGAAACTAAAGGCTTCCTTCTTGTACATGTTGCCTTTCACTGGTGGGATTTTCCAGTGTAAAATACTGTCAGTATTGCTGACATTTTACTAACGATTGACTATTTACTGGGAATCAGTTGTTTGTCACTACTCTAAAACAGTAGATTCCAGGGGCTGCACAACGCAGCTTGCTGTTTAGGCTACTGTTTTCAAGCAGCAGAGAAAAACTGATATCTGGGAAAACTGCCATTTATCCAGGTGTGAAACTACTTTTAAGTTTTTTAATAAATTGTGTGATACCGGCTTGGTTGTATCAGAGGCATTTCCGATACTGGTATCGGAAGAACTCAAAACATTTTCACAGGTGTTTATCTTTTCTTTTAAAATTTCCATTATATTAAAAACCTTTCTTGCATCCAGACAGAACATTGTCAATCCCACAATTTAGTAGCCTAACCAAATTTAAGTTTCTGCCAGGCTACCTGCAGACACAATAGCCAGGTCAAAATACTGAATGCTTCTCCAAGCATGCAAAACACCTCACTGCATCTACCCCTCCTGTTCAAATGCAATCCCATTGTAGGTTACTGCCACTTAGTGTTCAAAAAGTGTATTAAATAAAAACAAAAACAAAAAAATAAGTACAAAGGCAAAGATGGCTTTTTCAACTATTTCTTCTCTCTTTTTAAAAATACAGGATCTATGAGTATGCAAATGTATGCCAGTGTGTGCACTGGAGGAAAGGGGTTTCCACATTATGTCGTCATCATCATCAATAAAGGACGGCAGAGGAGATACCCACACACCAGTGTAACTGGGTGAGAAAGCCACAAAAAGGTCCACAGGCTAAGATTACTATCATCATGATAGTCAATGCCTGAAATGTTTGCTGCTGTTTTTCTCACTCTTTATCAATTTTAGCACATCTTTTGTGCACAGATATCTTGAATAAATAGACTATTTCTGCATTGATCTCAGCCTGTGGACATTTTTTGGCTTTCTAGCCCAGTTACATTGGTGTGCAGGTCTTCTGTCGTTCTTTTTTATTTGTCCGTTGTACCGACAAACCCAAGAAAAACTTTTTTGTTGCCCCAAATAGGTGCAGTTTTACAGCAGACATCATCATCATCATCATTAAACCACTGTTTATTCAGGGAAAACTGACTGAGCATTAAGCTCATTTACCACAATGAACTGAGTTCACATTCAGCGGGTATATAATAGCAATCACAATAAAATGATGATAAAAGTCCATATAAAAAAAATTAACTAGCAGAAATGTCTATCAAGAATGATAAACAGCAATAAAAAGCAGTAAAAAGATGATAAAGTTAAATAAAAAGAATAAAGTCTGCTGTAAATGACAGATTTGTAACAACAGCAACAATAAAAACAGTAAAACATAGAGGATGAAAACAAAGGTTATGTAGCCTGTATATTTCTTTGATGTCATAAGATCTGGCTGGTACGTCCAGGTGTGAAACTGAGATATAGGGTGAGCACATGAATGTGAAAACATACTCAGCAAATACATAATGTAATACAGTGAAGTTTACAACATTACAGTGATGGAACAAGATAAAACATATTTAACTGGAGGTTAAAGGGGCTGTATGCAATATTTAGAGCGGATGGGTTGTCTGGACATGGTTCTCAACATGGAGGGGGCTGAGCGACTACTCCATAAACAACAGCGACAGTTTTGTCAGAGCTAATTTACGAGGGGGGACGAAGGCAGTGGGAATACACACAAGCACTAACATGCATGTGGGGCTGAACCAGCTTACCACTACAAACCACAGAGAAGCTCAGATTACAACACACAAAGGAGTTACTTTACTCCACTGTATCTTTACATAGCAAATAATGCTTTGCTGCTTTATTAATGCTCTGAATGTTGCATATGGAACCTTTGATTCAAATTGTTGGGAATCGTAGTGAAAAAGATTGGTATGGCTGCTCTGTTGTAAGCACTACAGAAGAAAAAAAAATATATATGGATGCCTGAAACAAAGAGTACTGATAGATTAAACCCAAATGTGATGCACATGGTGTTATATTGAGATATTGCTGTAATATTAGAGAAAGGTTTAAAAAATGAATAGAGACTTTAAGAGACTAAAATACTAATCAAATTTTTCAATGTCGGACAAACACACCCAGATAATGTGATTGGGTGTTGAATTACTTCTGCATGTATACCACACCAATAAAAGATCTAGGTAGTTTTCCTAGCTCTTTTACTTATTCTTCTATCATGTAGACCATAGAACATTTTAAGTAAGTATTAAAAATATACATATTTTTAAATAAATGAAAACTTTCTTGTAGCCTACATTTCAGAAGCCAATGGCAGACTAAAGAAAGGCAATATTATTATTATTATTATTATTATTAATAATAATAAAATAAAATAAAATAAAAATAAATAACAAGCTCCCCAAACAACACCAGACAGATGCCAGAAAAAAAATAGGTAAGGATTGACGTATACTAATAGATAAAATAGAAGAAAATAAACCATAATGATAAAAACACTAAACTGGGGTGAATCAAAATAACACAAAATAGCAGTACTATGACATGTAGGTAAACCTGTCAGATTCCAACCATACCATTAGTATGGTAAGTTTGAAAATAGTGTTCATGTAATAGTGTCTGTATAGATATTTCCTTTGGCTGCACCATTGCCACATCCACCCTCCTGAACTCATTACAATCCTAACAAGTGCTCTATGCACTACCGACAACAAGTCTCTGTATGTATATGTATATGTATATGTATATATGTGTATATATATATTTATATATATATATATATATATATATATGTATAAGAAAAATAAGAAAAATTCAGTAAATTGGTCCAGAGTGCAAATTTTCATAGTGTCCCACTTTACTTTTTTTTTAAATGAAATTTATTCTATTTCAAAAACAAATACAAGCAGCAGAAATTATATATGAGTTAAATATAAAATAGCAATACCAATACAAAATCAAAAGGAGTAACATAGAATAAAAGCGCAAGGAAGTAAAACCCTTTGTATGTAACAGAGAGAAATGTCCTTTAGTCTGTGTCATAAGTCCAGTATGTCCCAAGGAAGGCGCTGAGTTTTATCCATAGCCCTCCTTCTCCGTAGGTTGGTAAGTATATGTTTAATGACCATATTGTTGTCTATGACTGTCTGTTGTATGATCATTGCGCATCTGGTTTTCCACTGTTTGAAACATATAAAACCGCTGATGAGTTGAAACAGTTTTTTTTTATGTTTCGAGGGCATCTTCTCTTCAAAGAGTCCATACATAACAGAGTTGTAACATGTGTTCAAATTTATGCCCAGACCTTTCAAGCTGAGCCAGCTCCTGTGCTCTATAACAGTCTACTAAAATATGTCCTTGTGCTTCAACCTCGTTACAATCAATCATTGGGCATTCTTTAGTAGTAACATAACAGCTCCAAAACACAGCAGCCCTCACTGGGAGTCTACCTACAGAAATCAGCCATCTGACGTCTCTGATGCTCTCAGTAATGATTTTTTTTAGTCTAATTATCACCTCAGTGCGATAAAAATTTTCAGATATATGTTTATATTTTATTAGGCCCCCATATTTAAAATGATCAATTATATTACATTAGTTCTATCTGTCATGGGAGCTCACTGTTGTGATCATTACTGCTGTTTACATACCACTGACTGCTAATGTTAGCTTAGCCCTCGGCCAGTTACATGACACCATTAGTAAACAGCAACAGGCTCATCCTGAAATCAAGACTATAAAAACCTGGCCAGCTGGTGCACTCACACAACTTGAAGACTGTTTTGCATGCACACAGTGGAATATATTTGAACACCAAGACCTAGAGGAATTCTCAGAGACTGTTTTATTCTATAAAACCTGCACTGATAATGTGACTGTTACTAAACACATCTGGGTCTATCCCAACATTAAACCATGGATGACGAGTAAGGGAATGGTCCCTTTTAAAAGCATGCAATTCTGCTTTCAGGTCAGGGGACAAGGGCCAGTACAGCGTGGCCAAGGCTAAACTGAGGAGGGGCATCAAAGCAGCCAAGGAGGACTACAAGAGGTAGACAGAGGACCACCTGGCTCGAACAACCCACAGCAAGTGTGGCAAGGACTACAGCAGATCACCAATTACAAAGGCACGCCACCTGTGACTGTTAATGCAGACATCTCCCTGGCAGAGGAGTTAAACCATATTTGCCTGCTTCAAGATGTCAAAGCCTCACCCTGCCATGCTGCCCCCACTGCCTCCCACTCTCCAGGTACATCAGGTGAGACAAGTGCTGAAGAGGGTTAACCCAAGGAAGGCTGCCGGGCCGGATGGCGTACTCTAAAGGTTTGTGCAGACCAGCTGTCAGGCGTTTTCATGAGGCTATTCAACCTCTCGCTAGCACAAGCTACTGTCCCATCCTGCCTAAAATCTGCTGTCATTATCCCTATCCCCAAAAAGCCAACTGTCAGCAGTCTAAACGACTACAGACCCATAGCCCACACGTCGGTTGTTATGACGGGCTTAGAAAAAGTGGTTGCACAACAGATCAGAGCCCACCTCCCTCCCAGCTTTGACCCTCAACAGTTTGCCCATAGGGCCAACAGGTCAACTGAAGATGACATGAACACAGCCCTCCACACTGCACTGAGCCACCTGGAGCATCCAGGGACCTACATGAGAATGCTCTTTGTAGACTACAGCTCAGCATTCAACATGATCATTACGGACCTCCTGGTTGACAAGCTGCACTGCCTGGATTTCCCCTCGTCTACCTGTGCCTGGATAAGGGACTTCTTCACAAAACGACCACAAACTGCCCCCACTGCTCCTCCATTCTATTCTATTACATCTGTCCTTCTCAGCTCTGATCCAGACTCCCTGTTTTATTATGATTTAATCTGGCACCAGATGCTAGCTCATACAAGGTTAAATAATAAGTTAAAACATCCATTTCTAACCAATATTTTACATTAACGGTGATGTCATCAGTGTAGGCAATGGCGGTGACTTTGGGCAAATCAGAGTTGATTATTTTAATTAAAGGGTTTATGGCCAAAATGTACAAGGCAGTGCTAAGAGGGCAGCCCTATCTGACCCCTCCCTTGACCTCAAAGGGCTCAGTTAAAACACCAATTACATTTGCACAGACACTTGACTTGACATACATGAATAAACTACATTAATAAAGGCATCAGGGAAGCTGTAAGCCTTCCTTACAGCCCAGAGGTAATCTCTGGAAATGTAATCAAAGGCTTTCTTTTGATCCAGCCCAATAATATAAATTCTTTCTTTTTATCTGGTTTATTCACACTCTCTCTGAGAATACTCAGATAATCCTACATTAATTGCACAGGTATGTTCCTTATCAATATTTTTTTGTAGTACATCATAATTATTTTTAGCAAGTATCTTCTAATCTGTATTCATAATAGTTATATGTCTATAATTATCTATGTCAGTGTCATCACTTTTTTTTATATAATATACATAAAACATTTGATAAAATGAGTCCCCCATACAGCCACTGTTTAAACCCTCACTGTCCCACTTTACCAATACTCACCCTGCGCATACCAGCAGCCTAGTTGTAGAGTGTATGCATTTTGATTTGCAGGTGTATAAAGTTTTGGGGTGGTTGTGCTGTCCATCGTGTTATGTGGGAGTGGTTTTTGTCCATAAACTGCGGAAATAGGCTGAGTTATTCCAGAAAAAAAAGGAGAAAAAAAAGCTGGCAGCAGACAGCCTGGACCGGGACAGACAACACAGCAGCATATATTAGACATACTGTCCACACAGCACTGAGGAGATGGGGGACAAAACGGGGACCAGGTAAGACAATCATCCGGTTGGCTCGAATGCGTCAAAGGCTGGAAGTACAAGACTAGTCTCCTGAGAAAAAAAGGGAACTATTCAAACTCCCTTTAAAAAACGAACAATTGAAACCTCTAGTGTGTTTATCGCTGTTCGTAGCCTATCTGCAAATGACACCACGACCACAGACTTAATTCACATAGCCTACCTGTAACTCTCCTCGGTGGATTTTCGGTCTGACAGTTGAGTTATTTATTTATTTATTTATTTATTTATTACAATATCTGGATAAATATCGATTGATGGTAATTCCGATTTGAAGAGAGGACGCCAAAAAATGCTTAAAGGTTTAAAGTCTTGTCCTATCCTGCTGTTAGGTTTGACTATAAACAAGGTAGCAAGAAACTGCTATAAAATGTATACATTTTGGAAAGTCTGGCGTAACTTCCTCATATGAGAAAACGAGGCGTATTGTGGTGTTGAGCACCAGCCGTAAGAATGTAGCTACAGTTTATGCATCTCAAATAATCGTTTTTACTTTGTCGTAGATGATTCTTCGAGGCATAACGTTACACATTTATAGTAATAGGCTGAATAAAACTTTGTCAAACACGGCAGGTGTTTGACAGCACTCACTGCTGTTTTCAAGACATTCCCGAAATATTTTCATTTCCTATGGGAGGAAAAAGAGCCCGATGTACAGTAAATTTTAATCAGTGTCAAAAAGTTTTAGCACAACACTCCGTTGTAACATGCAGTATTATCTTACGGAGGGTTCAACAGTGTAGCTGGGGTTTCTTCCTCTACAGTGCCACTAGGAGGCGCCAAAGACAAATATTCAAATCACAGGGGCTTTAAAGAATAATTTCACAATTTTTCAAGTCTGTCTGAAAACAACAGTGAAGTGATTTGTGCAGTGAGATATAATTTACTTGCTGTGAGCATTTCTCCTCTTCATACCTGCCACTGAAAGATCCCTGTCTAAGAAAGATTTTTGACCAAGATTTTTTGGCCCTGATCCCGAGTCTACTCAGGATTCCCTGATTCTGAGTACTGTTATAGCTCTGATCCAGTACTCATATTTACTTTAATTAATTCATTCATTCATTCATTGGCTGACATATGAGATGGACAGCCATTCATGCTCACGTTCACACCTCCACACAGAAGGGCTACCTCCCCGGGTTTGAACCACTAACCTTCTAGCTGTGAGGCAACAGTGCAGACTGACTGCTGATAATCATTTTGCATTTTAAGTTTAAAAAAAAAAAAAAGCTACACAGTTTCAAATCAGCACTGGATGGATTCCACACTTTACATCTGTTCTGTTCATGTTTTATAAATAAACAACCCTCTTAAATTATAATTTCCTTTATTTAATCTAAATAAAATTTTAATACAGACAGAAAGTATTTCCAGTGTTTTTAAATGCACAGTGTCTGGAAGTTTTAAGGTGTAGGATGCTATAAACAATTAATTTGTAGATTCCTGATAACCTGCTTTATGTATTATTCTGAGGGCTCTTTTCTGAAGTTTAATTATAGGATCTATATTTGTTTTGTATGCATTTCCCCAAATTCCAGCAGAGTAGGACATGCATGACACCACAAGTGAACAATACAATATATACAAACATTTGTTATTTAACAACTCCCTTGTTTTATAAAGAGCAGCAAAAGATTTAGATTTTATTATGTTCTATGTGTGGCCTTCAAAATAGTTTATGTTCTAAAAAGTCACTCCTAAAAAATTTGTTTCAAATACTCTTTCAATTTCAACACCATTTAAGTTCAGTTTTATTTCACAATAAGCCCTAACGCCACAGCAAAACATTTTTCCCAACATGATCAATTACTTTTCTACTGTTTTTAATAACACTTTCATGTCATCATCTAAACAAAATAAATTTGTATCATCAGCAAATGTTACAAATTTCAACATATTAGATACCTTACAATATAGTTTAAATAAAGTATAAATAACTTAGGCCCCAATACTGAACCTTGTGGAGCACCACAGGTTACTCCCAGAAGATGTGATTCAGTATTATTGATTTTTACAAAATGATGCCTGTTATTGAATAACTTTTTAACCAAAGTTGTGCGACATGTCTTATACCATATTGTTAACATTTCTGAAGAAGGAGGGAATGATCGATTGTGTTACATAAATCAATGAATACACCTACAGTACAGTGTGCTGTTTTTTATCTGCTGCTGTTGCTATATTTTCTACAGTCCATCACTGCTAAAGATGTAGATCAATTACTCCTAAACCCATATTGATAGTCACTCAGTAACTCATATTTCTCAAGAAAATCATCCAGTCTGTGTACAAATATTTTTTTTAAGTATTTTAGAAAATTGAGGTAGCAGTGACACATGTCTATAATTTGATACCATATGCTTGTCACTATTTTTTATAGATTGGAACCACTTTTTCAATTTTCATTTTATCAGGAAAAAGTACATGTTTTGATGACAGTCAATTACTGCTTAATTGATATGTCAGCACTTTCTAAACAACTGTAACACATCACTCTCACAGACTCCACCAAGGAGCACTGAATTACATTTCAAAGGCAAAATCAAAATTTATATCTTCATCTCTAGGAAAATTCATTTCTTTTGCCAAATTTGGGCATACATTAACAAACACATCATTAATCTCATAACAACTGCTTCTACGTTATTGATAATTGAGTGTGTTGGAAAAGCGTTTTTTCTGTGATTTCTAATTAAATCATAAAGCGCATTTCAGGTAGCCTTTTGTATTATTTTTATGGGTTTGTTACAACTGATCATAGTAATCTTTCTTTTTGGGAAAGGAAGGATTAGATTTTGATAATATCTTGTGGAGGTCAATGTCTGCCTGGCTGCATTTCCAAATCTTTAAAATCTCTTGACATTTTTTTTTTTTTAATCTGATTCCACTTGTGACTAGAACTGCCAATTTATAGAAGATGGTTTTGTGAACTGTAGAGTGTAAGAGTGTGAACAATATTTAAATGAAACTGTGGGCTGGTTAAGCAGGGATGTATCCTGTCCTTAGTGCTGACCTCAGTTGCTTCATTCCCTGCTGAGTTGAGTTTTGTTATGATTACAGACTTTTTTTTTGCCTTTGAGGATAAGGGGTTGACAGGAAGGGGTTCACATGTTAAGGAAGTAATGGAGGTTTTTGTCGATAATCAGGATGTGCATTTTGTTCTTTGACCCTGTTTTCTTTCCTCAGAATGTAAAAGGCAGCACATTCCTGGACAGGGACATGCTAATGTTCTTAAAACTGCAGCAGTGTGCATAACCTTTAAGCTGACATGGCCTGAATGGTCTTAACAACAGCTCTGCTTTTAGGCCAGTAACAGTCTTTTTCTATAATAATGTAAATAATGAAGACAAAGTTTTCATTTTGTGTTGTTGTGGTTGTATACATGGGCTGATAAGTTGCAACAGTTGGTCACAAAATAATTCCTGTCATACTGGCATACACTGGCCACATTTCCTGGAACACACTTCACCCTCTTCCTGTTTAGTTTAAGCATAGCCTCTCTGCTCTCTCCTTTCTGACTGGAGAGGATTTCTCAACTCCATAACACTGACTGTCTAATGTGCTGACTTAGCTAAATAGAACGTAATGTGACAACATCTAAATGGACAGGAAACTATGAATTCCCTACACTCTTTAAAGGTAAATAAGATGAGTCATTTGACCATTTGACTGGGACTTAGTGCAATTATTAAATATAAGAGTAAAACTGTTCCAACGGTAGAAAAATGTAACCCCTTATCTGATTTTAGTTGTGATGTTAGCGAAATTGTGTAGCCTACTCACTTGTCTGTTTAGTTTTATTAAAATGATCTGCTTCTCAGGTGTACTGGTAACTTGTGAAATATAACATGACATGAGTTACCCAGGTCTTGATTCTCCACTTCTCCACTGTTCTTCCTAAGAGCTCTAATTTTGCAAAACAACCAAAACGCTTATCATAATTATGTCAGTCAAATGCACATATGGCTTTAATTAGTTTTTGTTTGTTTTTTTTCTTATCTTTTAAAAAACTGGGTCTTCAACAGGTGTTCTGCAACCCTAAGGGGACCTACAGCATTATTGTTTAATACTTTACTGTAATTTGAGCTTTAAGGTTTTTTTTTTGTTTGTTTGTTTTTTCCAAAAATTAAAATATATCTAAAATTAGGGCTAGGCACAGTTCAAGCTACCTTTAAGGTATCAACCAAAATAACCTGGTATCAAGTAGTACTGACACATCTCCAGTCAAATGATGCATGCAATCCTTTTTTTTGGCTGGGGGTCTGGTGAAGTTTTTTTTAGATATGTTTTTGGGCATTTTGCCTTTAATGGATAGGACAGCCAAGTGTGAAAGGGGGAGAGAGGGAGAGGGAGAGAGAGAGAGGATGACATGCAGCAAAGGGCCACAGGCTGGACTTGAACCTGGGCCTTGTATATGGGACGCCTGCTCTATCCACTAAGCCACCGATGCCCCAGGTCTGGTGAAGTTGAGTGTGGTGTAGCCTATTTGAGGGAGTTAGGAGTTTAGCATGCCAAAATACACATTAACATGAATCCAACATATTAATAACAAAGATAGCTAGCTAGCTAATGCTATATTTCTGTGCAGCATAACAGCAAGGTAAACTAGTAAGCTTACACTTATGTTCTGTTGAAATATTAATTGCATTAGCTTATTATTCCAATTGTACAGATATTCTTGTGAGCTACTACAACTGCTGCTGACATGGTAGCTTCAGGCAAGCGCAAATGAGAGAAGACCCAAAAATATTCAGAGAATTATCTCAAGTGCAACTCAATATTATACAATATATGTAGTAGGGGGTTCCTGTTCTGTTTCTCTTTGAGCTAAGTTGTCCTTGGCCTGAAAAACATTAAAGACCCCTGTTGTAAGTTAGAATTTAATAAAGCAAAGCCTGCAAGCTAGTTCAGGCAGCCAACTCCAGTCCACTGACATGGCTTACATCTGACTGCTACAATCCATCCAACCAACACAGTCTCACAAAAATATGTCAAATGGACACAACCTCTAAACAATGTATTATGTTGTGTTAGGCACAAAATGTGTTAAACATGCTGGCAACATGAAAATAATGCCATTGCAAAGTTTTATGAATGATAACAGTTTCAAACACGTTGTTAGGGATAGATAAAGTCAATGCAAAGACACAATTAGAAGTGAATTCCTGCTGGGCAGCATGAAGGACGCAACATGAATGACATGCAATATGTCAATCAAGCCACGGGAATGACGCTAATAGTGTGATTTTGTGTCATACACTTACCTGCGAGAGTTGAAAAATCTGAACTTCAGCAACCAATTCATACTGAGATAGCCAGTCAGCGTTCAGATCCTCCGGGAACATATGACCCTGAGGATGTACTGACGAAAGTTCATTCATCTATTCAGCGATTTCTCGTGTATATGACACAGGTTATTTGTGCATATGGAGCAAGTCAAAACAAAATACTCTAGCGTTCAAACTTGCATGAGTAATGCAACGCCAAAATTTGCATCGCATTTGGTGTGAACACAACATTAAACTTATGTACTTTGTTAAGTTACGTAAAATACCTTCGCAAAATACTTTCCATAGTTATTTTAAGACTGTAAAGTCACATAACTATGTTGACTTTTAATTTCACAGGAGACACAAACGGTCTCCTAGTTGAAAGTCAATGTTTGTTTGAAGCGCCTGTCTGACCTACCAGGATTTTCTCACTTTTTATACTTAATTTGTATGACAAATTACAAATAAAATAAAATTACAAATTAACATGTTGGTGATTACAAAGGGGTTACATCCGTATATATTCTTTTTGGTAAAAAGGCTGTAGATTATAACATTAATTCTGTTGCTTGCATCTTTTCACCATTCAGAATGCCTTCTTTTGTCATAGCCTAGTTCTGGATGTTTTTCAGCATAATTGCAGAGTTTTAAAAAAAATGAAAAGAAATTAATCAAAAAGTAATCAGATGTAATGAGCAGGGATGCACGATAATATTGGCGCATCATCGTATCAGCCGATATTAAGTTTAAAATTGAATATCAGAATCGGCAAACATGCTAATAATATCGGCACGTCATCTGTATTGGCTAATATCAGCTTTAAAATGAACTATCAGAATCAGCCATCATGCTTTTTCTTATTTTGCATAATTTATCAATATTACATACATTGAAAAGTATTGTATTTCATGTCTCTAGCTGCTGGTGGGCCATCACGATAAGAGTATGTATGAATAAAATAAGGTTAATTACACTGCAGAAGAGACTTGATGATCACTAAAATTAGGTGTGGGGGAAAAAGTGGATATATCAGTATCTCTTTTGGTTATCAGTCAAATGAGTTGTTACAAATCAGCATATCGAATATTGGCAAAAAATCCAATATTGTGCATCACTATTAATAAGTTACATTCCAACACTGGAGCAGTTAAAATCATCACTCCCTGCTTTCTTGTGGGGAGTGACTAGGTCAGAGCCTAGATGCCAAATATCAACACTGTACACATTCTACATTCACATAATAATTCATTTTATTTTTATTCCCACTCATTGTTTTTTCACTGTTGTGTGTGAAGATTTATGTAAAGCCTGTTGAATTGCTTTTATGTTTGAGTGGTACTATAAAAATAATTGATGATATCTAACACTATAACAGAACCAGGGTGGAGATTTCCATGAAATGAGTCTGGAATAGTTCCTTGAGTGTGTTTTTCTAAAAACATTTTCTCTGATTAATTGTATTGTTCTTTGTTAAGTGCTATGGCAGTTTTCCATTGCAATGACTAATGTCCCCCTTGGGATCAGCTGTGTACTTTAACCTAATCAGGCACACATGGTCATAGACAGGCCACAAACACCATACTGTTATTGAATCTGCTCTGTTCTGTCACACATATAGAGACTGCTGAGAATAAATGTCATTCATGGTCCGTTTTAGACACTGTGCGAGACTCCAGGACACACATTTAGTTGTAGCCTAGTTTATGCTGACCTTCCTGTCATACAGTTCATTGTCCTGTCAGCCATCACTGCTGCTTTCTACTGTAACTGCTCACTTTTGTTTACACCAAGGAATGGTGTACTGTGTGTGTGTGTGTGTGTGTGTGTGTGCGTGCACGCGTGTGTGCATGCGTGTGTACTTATGAAGCACAGGAAATATGATGTGATTATACAGCGCTGTTTGTGTGTATTGGAGTGTAATGTGATCAACAGTTCCTACACTCACAGCTTGTTGTTGGTCAACCTAGATGTAGTTGTATAAAGACAACTGGACACAGTGTTGGAGATGGGGTCCATTTCATTTATTCATTCCTATCAAAGTTTCTCAGTGGTGCATGAAGCCAAAAACGTTTGACTTTCTGGGTATAAAATACCCGGATCTTCTGCATCATTTGGCCCGTACAGCAAGTGCAGTAGAGACTTTTGCAGCCAAGCAGCTAACCTCTGGTTGCTCAGTGCTTCTACACTTGAATCTGCAGGTGTTGCTTGAATAATGTCAGGGGACATCTTTTAACAAAGCACTGCATTCAATTTGTGGAGCTCAGACCAGTTGCTTATGCTTAAATAAATCTCTAATTAAAATTTTACGTAACCTAAACACTATGTTAACAAGATATGCTCTCTCCCTTCCTCTGCAGGGTCTTCAAGAAGTCCAGCCCTAACTGCAAGGTAGGATATGTGGTGGGGGTTGTCATCATTGTTTCCTCCTTTCTCAAACATCTCCTGTTATGGAGTATCCTCATCAATCCATTTTTTTTCTGTCTGTCTCTTTCTGCCCACAGCTCACAGTTTATCTAGGGAAGCGAGACTTTGTTGATCACTTAGACCATGTAGATCCAGTGGGTGAGTCTAAACAAACTTCAGCTCCAACTTTTAAATTTATTTTGTCCACGGAGGGCAGTTGGTTTTTCGGCGAGGCATATAATACATAAAAGAACATAGACATACAGCCCAGTAAGGGGGAGGGGAAGTCTCCTGAATACAAGTGGACTAGAAGTCCAACAGCAGAAGTCACTGGTGTCCAAATTTGACATTTTCACGGTGTACAAAGCACAGCAGCAATAACATCTAAAAAACATGTCAAGGCAGATAGAATAAATAGCTGCAGAATATAAAGGTATATAAAATAAAATCAAATAGAATTATCAAGTTGAAAGGAATCAAATTCAATCAAACTAAATAACTAAACTGAATTGAATTGAAGTGAATTGATTTGAACTGAAATAATTTGAATTTAATCAAATTAAATAAAATTAACTGAATTAATATCGAATTGTATTACATTCAACTGAAACAAATTCAGTCAGATTAGATTATTAGAATTAATTAAATTAAATGATGAAGGTGGTTGAACCTCGTCTTTATTTAAGAGCAAGAGTCCCTTTTTAATTTAGAAATTTATCACTAGTACGTTTTATGATTTTATAGAGTTTATAGTAACAGCTGACACATTTAACTTCAGCACACTGATGGGCACTAGGGAAGTTATGGGATGCTGAGGGCTGCAAAGGACACAGGCTGTGTCCAAATTTGGGCAAAAGAGGGCTGTGTTTCTCAACTGCATTTGAGGGAGCCTGAGATGAGACAGACCTTGTCGGGCTTTTTTATGTTTGGTTTAGAAATCAGCCTCTGAATTGGGGTGCAAGTATACATACATACATACACATACACAATGTAGAAAGATAGTACTTGCCCTCAAAATGTTGAAGTGTTCCTTTGGTTAAAGCATATCTGGATAATATTTATCATGTGTAGACACAATGTTTTGATCTACATTTGTTCAACATCACTTGTGTGTGTGTTCTAAAGATGGAGTGCTCCTTGTAGATCCGGAGTACCTGAAAGATCGAAAAGGTAAAGTTTGACAGACACAAAGTAACAGAGTGACTCAATGACTGATTGACCTTCCAGTTCATCAGTGTCTTTGTCCATCCTCAGTGTTTGTGACTCTGACCTGTGCGTTTCGTTATGGTCGAGAGGATTTGGACGTCCTGGGCCTTTCCTTCCGGAAGGACCTGTACATCAGCACCATCCAGGCCTTCCCTCCTCTGCAGGAGAAGAAGACGCCTCTGAGCCGCCTGCAGGAGAGGCTGCTGAAGAAGCTGGGTCAGCATGCCTACTCCTTCCATTTTACTGTAAGACTTGGAAACACGACCACCTCACTCTGACACTACTATAGACCAGCAGATGGCACCATGTATGGTAGCCTCAGCCAACAGTGTGTTAAAGTGTGAATGTGACATGTAGTGTAAAAGTGCTTGTGGTCGCAAGACTGAAAAAGTGCAGTCCATTTACCATACGCAGGCTCTGCTTGTAAACTGATGATATAGCCAGTTAGGCTTCTCCAGGAACACATAATGTGCCAGTAAGAGTTTGTAAACAATGACAAAAAAAAACAGAAAAGTGAAAAGAACAACATTATAAAAGTAGCTGTTGGTGCAGTTGGCGTTAGTCTGGTGGAAGAATATAAAAAGTTAAACTGCGTATAACAAGTCATGTATATGTGTTATTTTTCAGTGATAGAGGGTGAAAGATAGCCTCATATGGCTCCAAATGATGTCATCAGCTCAAGATGACAACACCCTTATCAGGGGAATTAGAGCTCCATTTTTGTATAGTGAGAGGAAGTGGAGACGTGTTGTCCATCGTTGGTCTGGACACAGACAAAGTGATAGCACTGGGCCTGGTAAAAAAATAACCACTGACAGAATCTATACAAACAAGTTGCACTATCAAGAAAGAGAATCCTCGGAGGGATTTTTCCTGCAGTAAATCAGTATTAACAATTATAAACTGCTTCTTTTTAGATCCCAGTGACCACTTGCGTGTAGTACACTGTTCAATTTCAATTTTCAATTTTATTTATAAAGCCCAATATCACAAATCACAATTTGCCTCACAGGGCTTTACAGCATACAGCATAGCTGTTATGGTCACTACTATGATATCAAACAGCTCACATACTTACTATTACCAATTTCAGATCCCCCAGAACCTGCCCTGCTCAGTAACCCTCCAGCCGGGTCCAGAGGACACCGGGAAGGCGTGTGGTGTGGACTATGAGCTTCGAGCGTTCTGTGCCAAGACTGCGGAGGAAAAAATCCACCAAAGGTTTAACACATTTACACACCTGGCTGGGACTACAACCAAACTAGCACTCCTAGAGAGGGTGGTTCTCTGAGAAACTCAAGAGGCTAGACCAGTGCTGGCCCATGGCATAGGCAGTATAGGCCAATTGTCATCCATAGGGAGCGCCACAAATGGCTTACAACAACATAACGACATAGCAAAGCCTATTCGATAATAAAGATGTAATAGTTCATGTAGTTCATTCTTTGTGGCTCAGAGCCCACATACAGTCTCTGGGTTCAGGGTCCAGGGCCGAACTCAGAAGTGGGACCAAGAGAGAGGACGTGAGTCCTTGGATCCGAACAGTTCAGTCTGACAGCAGGCAACTGACAAGCAGGTGGGAACACTCACGCTGAAACGTGGCAGGAAAACACCACACAGCCACAGGCAGACGGAAATCAGAGATGCTGAGGCATGGTTCGGGACAGAAGGGTGGTGAGTTTACCAGGACACAGACGACATAGACAGGTCAGAGGCAGACAGGGTCGGTACCAGGGAATCAAATCAAAAGTGAATGCTGGAAAGTCTTGCCTGAAGGGAAAGGCAGAAGCTGCTTATATGCAGGGAGTGCTGATGACAAGCAGCTGTGTGCACAGGTGAGTGGAGTTATCTTGATGAGGGGGGCGTGGCTGGCAGGTAGAATGGAAAAGGGAGGGAGAGCGGGGGAGCAGAATGCAGGCTGTGACAAGAGAGGCCTTTTTTTCTAGGTTCCTGCCAAACCCCGGCCCCCCTCCCCAGCTAGGGGGGGAGATGGGTGAGTTATTCGACGTCACATGTCACCCGTCGCGGGCTGTATCGTTATAATGTCAAAAAGACAAAAGCTCTCTGGTGCCCACTCAACTACCACTACGCTACTAAGATGAGTGTACAAGGAGAAAAGAGCATGAAAACCCAACAAATCTGTGTTGCAATCAGCAGGAGGGGAGCTAGTTATTGTTACCTCTAAGCACATGTACATGTATGAAAACCTGTTGTTTATGTAGGAACTCTGTGCAACTGGTGATCCGGAAGGTTCAGTACGCTCCAGAAAAGCCAGGTCCACAGCCCATGGTGGAGACCAGTCGCAGCTTCCTGATGTCTGATAGAGCTCTACACCTTGAGGTCTCACTGGATAAGGAGGTAACACACTCACACACTTTGATGTGTTGTTGTTTGATGATGATGGGATATACACATCGCTATGTCTCTGTTTCTCCAGCTGTATTACCATGGTGAGCCCATCAATGTCAATGTCCACGTCAGCAACAATTCCACCAAGAGTATCAAGAGAGTGAAGATATCTGGTAACTCCACCTACTCTTACACACACTCACACTGTTGTTTCAACTACATTGCTTCAAATACAGAACTGAAAGAAATTTTGCACCTCTTGACACTACAATTTATTGTTACTGGCAGGGGTGGAAATCCCGGGGAGGACAGGGGGGACATGACTCCCCCTTCAATAAAGCTATACCCCCCTAGAATAATTTGAGACACAATTAATAATTTTTTAACAATGCAGTAGTATTTATTAAAAGCACAATGTAAGCGGTGCTCATTATAAAAGCGCAATAATATGCTATTTAAATCTTAAAAGATTTAGTCCCCCCCTCCCATTCCTAGTAGTGGTATATCCCACACTCTTTCCAGTGGGCGGGGCTAGCAGCCGTTAGTAGTTGGCAGCAGTTGCAGCGTGTGGCTGGACCCGGCTGCCCACATCGCGCGGGGTAAGATGTACACTCGCAGATACAGTTTAACTTACACAAGTTACAACACATCCCATTTACTGTTACAACAAGCCCCAGGCCCAGGCTGATAATATAAACTGTCTGCAACATTTCTCCTGCATTGTTCAAAAGCCAGAGTTTAGTGATAGTCAGAGAGGACAGGAGAGAAAGAAGAGGGAGAGGACAAGACAAGAGCAGTCAGTGAAGGAGCAGCTCGTAGTTAATATCTGTAGGCTCTCCACCTGTCAGTGAGACAAACATGACAGACGTGCAGTTTAACTGACGAGGAGCGGCCATTACGCGCGAATATTACACACGGTTTTGAGGTGCGCAGCGGCAGATCTCACAGCACACTGTTTATAAACCAGTTCACCAGTTTAATTGCAGGAAATGTTTATCTCACTGCCGGTAAAAAAATGAAAAAAACAAACAAAACGGTTTGCTCCTGCAGCCAGCCAGAGAGAAAGATCCATTCCACACACCTGAGCCAGATGAAAAAGAGGGAGAGAAGGAGAGAGCGCACAGGGAGACCTGCTCTGTTCCAGACACACTCAGCACCTTGGACAGCACGGCGCACCTGACTGTTGTCGTTGTGTACATGTTAATTTGATTTCAATCATTTTGTTTTAAATCTGGACATGTGCAGGTGGACTCAGCCAGTGCTAAGAAAGGTCCTATGCCTGCCTGTTGGAGAGACAGAGAAAAGATTAAAGCGTCAAATTGCGGTAAAAGATGTATAAACGACAGGCTACAACTTTTTTTCCTTGTCCCCCCCGGAATTATTCTCTAAAATTTTACTGTTTATTGTCCCCCCCAACTATGAAATGGGATTTTCGCCCCTGGTTACTGGGTGCTACAGTTAGAGTCTAGTATTTCATTCTGCATCTACTGTAACCTGACTGCTAAAGGAAAATTCTCCTCTCTTTCTATCAGTTCGTCAGTATGCTGATATCTGTCTGTTCTCCATGGCTCAGTACAAGTGTGCAGTTGCCCAGGTTGAAGCAGAGTGAGTTTGTCTACTGTGCTTTTATCCTTGTTTGCACCCCTGCTTCATTTCTTTTTTTATTTCCTTTAAACCATGTTTTCTTGAGTTATGGGTACAGCCCAACCAGTACTGGATATTTTAGGCCAATACAAATATCCATATTTGAGATTTTTTTTTTATGCCTCTGTGCGAGTGATAGCCATGACCAGAGGCATTATGTTTTTGCCTTGTCCTTCTTTCCATCCCATTCATAAACAAGATATCTCTCTAGCGCTTATCAGAATGTTTGCACTTCTCAACATTAATCAGTGGGTTCTACAGGGATCAGGTTTAGGTCCTGTTCTCTTTACAATCAAATAATTGTTGATAATAGTGAATTGCATTAGTATGCTGATAATCTCGCACAGCCAGACCTATCTTGTGCTGTGCTAGCACTTGAGAAAGGTGTGGTTAAAACCATCATTATTTGTTTATTGCAATTTTGCACTAAGGGAAAAAACCTGTATGGGTTGTTTGTAATTCTTTAAAGTTTAAACCAATCAAAATCGTCTTGGGCAGCGCTTAGCCCAGGATGCAGCGAAGTTGCCCTTGTAATATACTGTCAGGAGGGAATTTGTTTTGGTGCAATATTTGCATTTGAGGAGGTGAGCACTGGCATTAAAGTGGCTAAATTCCCACAAAATAAAATGCCACATAAAACATAAGAAGACATTTTAGCATGGACGTTGCTACCTCGAAAGTTGTTGTGGGAGACTGGTCTGGTTTTGTGAGACTAGTTTCACGTAGCATGGAGATTTAGAAAACAGACATTGCTGGCCAGTGACAAGCTTTATACCCACAGTCTTCATCGTGTGAGCTAAACTAGTATGCAAATGACACTATTTTCTAGGGGTGGGGGAAAAAATTGATAATGTTAATGTTACAAATATAAATTAAACTTTACATAGCCTACTAGAATAAAATAATCAATTACTTTTTCAGAGCAAGTTTTCAGACTGAAATCTGTATCTTATCAGATAAAACAGATATTAAAGTTTTCCTGTGGGGACAAAATTTACAGTTGAAAAAAGGTAATAAATCACAATACTTTACTACTAGCATTTACTCAGCAGTTGTATTGTGACTTAAATATTGTGATAATATTGTGATCCCCACCCCTTCTATTTTCTATGGAAATACATATTTAATTTAACATTGAATTTATCACCAACAACATATCTTACCAGCCTTGTCTTTTGCAATCAAGATTGAACTTTCATATTCAAAGTCTCATTTTGTTTTTACAATTCCTTGCAAGCATTTAGTATGTAGCAACAGACAGAACTAATGGATCACTCTTTAACCTTCCCATTTTGCTCCTCTCTCCCTGACCTTTACCTCCACCCCTAACCTCAGTCACCAGGTTTCTCCCAGCTCCACCTCCTGCCAGGTCTACACTCTGACCCCGATGCTGGGTGCCAACAGGGAAAAGAGAGGCCTGGCCCTGGATGGACAGCTAAAGCATGAAGACACCAACCTGGCCTCCAGCACCATGTACATATACACACACACATGTACATGACATGATAAGAAAGGGATTCACTTTTATACAAACAAGCACACAAGATCATTGTATTCTCTCACACCTGTTTGCTTGTGTCCTGTATGTTGCAGAGTGAAAGAAGGGACCAACAAAGAGATGATGGGGATCCTGGTTTCCTACAGAGTCAAAGTCAAACTGGTGGTGGCTCGTGGAGGGTGGGTGAACACACTCACATTCAGTGCTAACATGTGCAATTTTTACACCAAAGTAGTGGTTGCATTGTGGGTAATGTAGGTGGCATGTTTTCACAAAGAGGAAAATTGTATGGAACAAAAAAGATATCTCCAGTTCTGTTGCATCAATTTGGATACTTATTTGTAAACTGTCCATTGTAGGTCAGACAGTGTTACAAGACTGAAATGCAAATCAGCGAAATACAACTCTTAATATTCTACTCCTGGTTTAACTTTGAATGAAGACAACTAACAGCTGTAAATCATGTAAATTAGTTGTAATATGGTGGGTGGTGACAAGGCTGTTCAGATAGTTGATTTTATATCTTGCATGTGTGTGTGTGTGTGTGTGTGTGTGTGTGTGTGTGTGTAGGGATGTGGCAGTGGAACTTCCTTTTGTCCTGATGCATCCCAAACCAGACCAGCCCAGCCCCCAACCACAGCCAGGTAGGACACACATACACACATTCTTGTACTTCATTCTTTGTGAGGACCCTCACTGACATAATGCATACCCTAGTCCCTTACCCTTATCTTAATCATCACAACTAAATGCCTACCCCAAACCCTTACCCTAACCTAAACCTAATTGTAACCTGAACCCCAAAACCAAGTCTTAACCCTCAAACAGGCCTTTGAAGAAGTGAGGAGCAGCTAAAATGTCCTCACTCTCCAAAAATGTTCTCACTCTACTAAAATACACATCTTGGTCCTCACTAATAAGCACACACACACACACACACACACACACACACAATCACACACACATCTCATAACAGTTAACAGTGGAGCTGTTTATTGGAGTGTAATTTAATGACCTAGTGTGTTTTTGTTCCTAGTTGTTCCAGAGGCTGACGCTACTGTGGATAACCTCATAGAGCTTGAGACAAAGTAAGTGTGTGTGTGTGTGTGTGTGTGTGTGTGAGACACTTGTGAAAAAAAGATGAGATTTCTTTCAGCCCTCTACTAAACTTTTCTCACCATATTTTTGCTCTCAGACTGCAGAGTGTATGGTTGTGATTTGATTTAGCAACACAGCAAAGGGTTTGGATTAGAGAAATGTCACTTCACTGAATCTGAGAGCTGCAAATGGAACCAGGTGATACTATGTTTTGGTTAGTTCTTAAGTGACTTCAATAAAATATTAGATTACTAAGAATGGATCTACAGATGAGAAAGGTCACGTGACTCTTCTGTAAAGTCAGTGAGGTCCATCCAGTTAACCTGTATGAATGTTATAAGTTTGTGATCCAAAATTAAAAATAAAACACAGAAATGGATGGTAGATAAAATGGATGCATATAAAGGCTGCCATCTTAATTGAACATGAATGGAAATGTGGACTACAAAACTTTAAAATAAGATGAAATAAAAAATTGTATACACAATACTGTCATCTGCATACATATGAATCTTCACAGGATCTCCTATACTGATTGGAAGCAGGGCTTGGCATTAGCACCCAATAGAGAGAGAGAGAGCGAGAGAGAGAAAGAGAGAGAGAGGGACAGAGAGAGAGACAGAGTCAGAGAGAGAATACAGACTTTTCATACATGAGAGAGACAAATATAATGCGGACCTACCGATGTGCATTCGATCCACATTGGACCCATTCATATGAGTGAGCCGTCACTTTGTGTGTCACTGTTACACCCCTTTTCAACAGTCATAGGCTGGCCTTACCTGGTTTGATTTGGTTTGGGTCATCAGCCCAGCATGGCAGAAATTTGCATTTCTGTTACAACAGGGATACCCTTGTAAGGGTGTGTCTTTAAATGATAATGTTTTGTCTCGACTGATGACGTTAAAAAAGCATGGGTTTTTCCATCACACAGCAGAACAGGTAAAAGAAGTTTACCTGTTGGAGGTGAGCTGTTTGCAGAGGTGCAGCTCTTCATCGAACATCTCACTGTGACTGTTTCTGATTATACTCTTCCGCCCTGTGGTACTATTATACCTGCCTTTATTGAAAAAAAGCTGCTATCAAAGTTCTGCTAATTCAGTGATAAACACAATTCATTTTCTGTAGATTCTTCATAGTAAAATTCCCCTGTTATTTTGTTATGTAAAAACTTTAATTGTGAAGCAGCAAAATAAGGAAATGTTGAGTTTTCGAGCAGCAACTTACACACAAGTTATAATATGATGGATAGCGAACATGAAATTGTAAAATAAAGCAGATATCTAAAGTACAAACAGAATGCAGGGGAGAACCACAGAGATTAAGTTAGAAGCTACAAAAGTACTGAGAGCTGAACCCACAGAGACTTTTAAAAATGCCTCTCTCTCTAGTCTCCTGCAGACAGAGGTGAGTAGAGTATCGCAACGCACATGCTTGTTTGAGGGGTAGAAGCGGGGTCATCAGGTCAGCAAGACGTCACTGCTACCTGCTTGAGGGTGGGTGGCCCTGCTTTTGGACCTACTCTGGAGAAGGTCTATCTCTGGCGCAGCTCGGTCTGGCACGCTTGACTCAGTGCGGCCAAGAGTTACAGTGGAAAAGGTCCATTAGTAAAGAATGCCACCCTGGACAGGTCGCCAGATTATCACAGAGAACGTGCAAACTCCACACAGAAGGGCCATAAGCCTCAGATCTATCCCCAGAACCATCTGGCTGTGAGGAGACAGTGCTAACCACTGCACCATTTTCTACTACTTTGTATTACTAATTCCAGGTCCAGACAATACAACGTTTTTGTCCGTTCAGACAGTCACTATGTCAGATTAGGTGCTGTGGAATCATAAAATCTTGCCATGACTTGGCTGACAGACATAACAGACTACACGCTGGTCCACAATCAATCACCACTTGTCGTCTTTCACAACGTGCTTGTTGTCATCAGATTATTCTTGTACTATTTTTATTATCATTATGATTTCAGTCACTGTGGCTGTTCATTGTCCCAGCCGAACTGTTGTTGTAGTAACGCAAAAAGTGCCACTAGATGGCAGGAGCTACATTTGAGGTACCGCATGCAAAGCATGCAAGTCACTGAATCCTCCACAACAAGTTCCTGCATGAAAGCCTAGTCAGGAAATGAAGGGATTCTCTCAGCTGAAATTATGAGGGGCTTTTAATTTTAAACGGATACTGGAAGTGTGGAGTTTGGAATGACGTTGCAATGCATTAACTTTAACAGGACAAACGGGAGCAGATTAAAAATAAAAATACAGAAGGAATAATAAATTAAGGCCTGTGTCTATATATCTATAAATGAAGCTGGTACCCTCTGCAGTTGTGGTAAGTAAAGGCCAGTCACTATTTGTGAATTTTATTCCTTTATATCCTTGTGCCTCTGCTGTTTCAGGCCATCATTTTTCCATTTTTACTATATAATTGTAATATCCTAGAGGAAATATCAAAAAGTGCTTAAGTGTTGGTGCCATACAGGTGTCCATGGCAGCAGATTGCTCTGTGTTCCTATTGGTCAAAGTGATGGCTGTGACGGGAGAAGTCGTTGAAGACAAAAAGAAAATAACACATGCTAGACTCTCTGTTGGGATGTTGTGAGGTGTCCCAGACGCAGCATTGGTTGTTGACACACTACACAAGATAAAAGATGGATCATCACATAGGACACTCATTGTTGTTAAGATAGTAACTTTGGAAAATCATTAGCCACAGCCAAAAAGTTTATGTCAAGCCCTGATTGTAAAAGTGAAAAATAGAGGAGGTGCTGATATAAAACTTTATGGTGCACTTTTTGAGATATTTAAGACTTTAGACATCAATGCTCTGAACCAGCTTATTTTTCAAATCCAGGTAGCTGATGACATTCTTTCTCTTTTTAGTTCTTCCTCCCAGGCTGATGACCTAGTGTTTGAAGACTTTGCTCGCCTGGGGCTAACGGGGATGAAGGATGACAAGGTTGACAGCAACCCCTTCTGTTAGCTCCTCCTCTTCCTTTGCCAGCAGGGTTATGTGTCTGAGTGGAAGATTACGGGATGCCGCAAATAGATAGAGAACCCAAGAAGTGGACAGCAAAGCAATATAGCCTCCTGAGTCTTACCACATGCTTTAATCGTATCATTTACTCTGTAAGGGCTACCAGAACTGGTTGTATGTTATGAGATGTACCAGGAGCTCAGTGAGGCTACAGTAACAATCTGCTAATAAGAGTATTATACACACTGCTGTGATTCAGGAGCCAGGACACCTTTAAACCAAAAAATAATACTTGTATTTTTATATTGATAATAGGTCAGCTGTTGTCTGGTTGATTTATCCTCAGCCTCTTTATAATCATATCAGTCTAATGCATTTTATATCCGGAGCAGAAGAAGCCAGAGGGTAGAGTTCAATAAATAGCAGGAATAACTTTATTTTTATAGTTGATTTTTTTGTTTGTTTGTTTGTTTGATTTTTTTGCTGCTGGAATCAGGGCCCAGTTGTTCAGAATTAATCTGATGGGATTTGATCAAATCTTGAAAACAGGTTGTTTAGAGGGAATAAAGGATTCTGAAATTGGATTTAATCATGTAATCCAATCTTGATTTTGAACTGGATCAAACTTTCTGTGTGCTTCAGCATTTGCAAAGCCCTGTGGATTCTTGCAAATACCATTACAAGCTCTCACTGGAGCCAGAGGAACCTGATTTTTTTATTACAGAATATCTGTCTCATGTACTCCTGTCAGAATATAGCGACACTTATGACAAAAAGTTTTTTTATAAACGTGTGAAACTGTAGCTTTAAAGCGACCATCTGGTAGTCTACATTGTGATGTGTAGAGTCCCATTTAGAGACTGGTTATCTGGATTTGATAATATTGAAAAGTTTGCATCAGGATCTGGTTGATCCAATCCAATGTTGCCTTTACAAAACAGCACAAAATTAAGATGGATTAGCTGATCCTGGATAGCAAAACATGGGATTTCCAAATCCACAGGTCTCATTTGTAAATATTGCATATGCACAAAACAAGGCCTGAAAGAGGCATACGCCACTTCCCACGCAAAAGCTGTGATCTATAAAAACAGACTTGATGGGAGAAACTTTGACCCGTGCTTACAATTATTGTGGAGATGTAAAATTGGTGACTCAGATGGTTAGTTTGAAGCCTGATTTTAGAAACTGTCAAAATATTTTTTGGCACACACCATTTTTGGCTTTAGTCCGTACGTACATTTTTAGTATGGATCCTACACAGTTTTTTAAATAAGATCCCACATCATTCTAAAGCCAGGTTACATATTTTGAACAACTGTGCCCAAAGCTTTGGCGTACATTGATCATTCTGTCTGTACTGTATCACCATTTAACACACAAGTCAAAAAGCTAGACAATCAATCTCTCAACAGGCTCTTGTGTTTTTTTATCTATGAAGATGCATGATTTTTTTGTTTTTTCCATGGAGTTGTAAATGTGAGCAGTGTAAATGTTAAGTGTAAGCTATCACAACTGTTAATATAATCAAACTTGAGATTTATAAAACACTTAAAATGCTATGGTCATTACATCATTTTATTGTTTTGTTTTTTTTCTTACTCAAAATGAAATAAAATGTACAAATAATCAAGTGCTGGAAGTGTCAGATGGAGGCTGAAAAACACGAGACAAGATTTTGAAATGGGTGGCTGGGCTCAGCCATAGAGATAAAGCGAGGAGCTCAGACATCTGAAGGGAGCTTGGAGTAGAGTGGCTGCTCCTTCGTGTCAAAAGGGGCCAGGTGAGATGGTTTGGTCTGATCAGGATCCTCCTGAGTGTCTCTGGTTAGAAGTGTTTCAGACACGTCCAACTGGTGGGAGACCCCAGGGCAGACCCAGAACTTGTTGTCCGACCTGGGAACACCCCTGGATCCCCCGGGAGGAGCTGGAAAGCATTACTGGGTACAGGGACATCTGGATTGCTTTGCTCAGCCTGCTGCACCCCCTGACCCAGCCCAAGCAGCTGAAAATGGGTGGATGGAAGACTTCAGACTGATAAAGTTCAGTGAATTGTGGGCAGTTGCATGATACATCATTACCTACAGTATTGTGGAGCTAGCAAAACAAGTCCAGATTTAAGAGCATGGAGGACAAGTAGAATGACATTATTATGGATATACAGCTGAGGTTTTGAAGACCAAACAGACTTGGTAAAGATTTGGGGAAAAAATTGGCTTCAGTAACTATCCACTGCACTTTTATCAGGATTCCCTGATTTATGACTGTCATACAATGAATCAAGGTCCTGGATGGACATTTTAGTCACTTTGATCTGACATGTTAACTGCTGACTTTAATGAAGGAGACCTTTGCTGGTCAGAGTAAATTATGTTTTTATGCCTCCATGATGGCAGACCCCATTGTTTTCCCATTTTGCAGACACATTGGACCACATTTTCCCCATTTGAGTTAGCTGCTAACGACTATCAGCTAATTTTTAAACCTCCTGTGGTACAGCGCACACATAATATAGAATAATGTCAAAACATCACACTTGGGCCACCCATGATCCTGTCCTACGGCTGTCCTGTTCATTCAGACCATTTCAGCACTGTTACTTCCTCTGATGGCAGTTTAAAGGCAAGACAACTCTGTCCTCCCAGTCCACCAGCGAATCTTATATACAGAACAGTGAGGCGGCATAATGGCGTTATATTCCTGCTTGAACAGGCAGTGTAAAAGGGGCTTGTGTGTGTCATTATGTTAAAATGTTGAAAGACATCTACTGTAGTGGGAACTACCACAGAAGTAGTTTTGAGTACTTTGCCTTTAACTACCAAATTATATTGAGTCCAAGTGGATATTTGTGCCAAATTTGAATTAATATCTTCAAGTACTTCTTGAGATATAGGCTAGCGTTTCTGAGAATGAGACATATGCAGGGTCACAGTGACCTTAACCTTTGACCATCAAATTCTGATCAGTTCATTCATGAGTCCAAGTGGATGTTTGTGCTGTTCTCGATGTTGTGTTCAGGAGAATGGGATGGACGGGTGGACAATCCGTAAACATAATGCCTCCGGACATGGCTATCGCCAGTGTGGGTGCATTAAAACAGAAAAGAATGCAGATGGACTGGAAGTTCGACGTTTGCTATGATTGTCAGCATCCAGTGAGTTAATATGACCTCCAGTGAGCTGCTGAGTGACTGTCATGGCCACCCAGGACCATGATACATGCTGTGACAGTCTTAGCCAGTTACTTCTTACCGTGCTTTGTGCCCAAAGCTGTAGAATTTTTCCCTTACACTCTCAATTCTTGGCTTTCATCACTCAGTATTTTTGACACTAATAATATCCCACACAGCTGTGGTTCTATTGGTGAAGAAAATTGTGTCTCTGCTCTTCCTCTGCTAGATTTCTCATTGTATGACGTGGCTTCAAGATCACAAGACCAAAAATGCTGAAACATTTGGTACATCTTTGTAATTGTATTAGAGGTATCTTAACAAGGTCTACATATGGTCTGCAATAGACATCAATAAGAAAAAAAATTACCACCAAACAACAAATAAATCTCGAAATGCACCATACACTTCTTAGAGAAAATGTGTTGATATATACAAGAGTTTTTCTTTGAGTTTCTTTGATACGTCAGTGTTTGTGATCATAAAAAGGCTCTATGAAAAGATGTTAAGGCTGGAGGCAGGTTAAGTCACATCACAGTGAGGTTCTCTCTGCTCTCATGTCTGCTGCTGCTGTTGCTGCTGCTGTTGCTCCAGCATGACTTCACAAGTCCGTCCCAGTTCTCCCAGTTTGACCTTTGCATACTCTGCTCTGTTTAGCGCCATCTGACAGTCCTTCCTTGCTGAATAGGTGGAGCCTTCGTGAGGCTGGCCTGTAGCTACCTGAAGAAAAGACATATCAGAGATATCAGATAACTATCAGATAAAATAAAACAAATTAAAAAATGAGAGAGAACAATAATAACTTCAATCCAAAAAACCCTGAGAAACAAAACCTACAATTTTATTGTAAAACAAAGTAGCATGCTTTTTAGTTTAAGTTACAGCTTTACCTTTTAAAGAGTTTTGTTTTCAGTGTTCACGCTAATATGCAAGGATATATTTAACATTAAAACTACTATATATAACTACTTGATATAATTGACAAAAGAACTGCATCGTCATGGAGGAGCAGTTGCAAAACAGTACTTGTGCCATGGGACACTGTTTTTGTTGCTGTGGTCTCAGTAGGTTATCATGCACAAATAAAAACACTACACTGCTCAAAAAATTAATGGAACACTTAAATCACACATCAGATCTTGATGAATATATTATTCAAGTTGAAAATCTTCACTGATGTACAGTGTATAATTTGTTGATAACAAAATGACATAATAATGGTCAATGGAAACCAAAATCATCAACCCACTGAGGGCTGGGTTCAAAAATCACACTGAAAATCAAAGTAAAACATTGAAATCACATGCTGATCCAACTTGTGTGAATTTTATCACAGCAACTCATAATGTGGCTCAGTAGTGTGTACGGCCCCTGCGTGCCTGCACTCCCAACAACGCCTGGGCATGCTCCTGATGAGTTGGTGGATGGTGTCCTGGGGGATCTCCTCCCTGACCTGGATCAGGGGATCAGTGAGCTCCTGGACAGTTTGTGGCAGTACCTGGTGGTCTCGGATGCACTGATATGTAACGTCCCATAGGTGCTCAATTGGATTTACGTCAGGGGATCAACAATGGCATCAATGCCTTCATCAACCAGGAGCTGCCTACACACTCTGGCCACATGAGGCAGGGCACTGTACTGCACCAGGAGGAACCCAGGGCCCTCTGCACCAGCGTAAGGTCTGACAGTCGCTCTGAGGATTTCATCCTGGTACCTAACAGCAGTCAGAGTATTGTTGGCTATGACACGGAGGTCTGTGTGACCCTTCAAGGATCACAGAACCACCACAAAACCGATCATGCTGGATGATGTTACAGGCAGCATTACGTTCACCACAGCATCTCCAGACTCTTTCACACCTGTCACATGTGCTCAGTGTGAACCTGCTCTCATTTGTGAAGAGAACAGAGTGTCAGTGGTGGACCTGCTAATTCTGGTGTTCTATGGCAAATGCCAGTCAAGGTGCACAGTGCTGGGCTGTGAGCACAGGTCCCACTTAGAGGATATGGGGCCCTCATGCCATCAGTCTGTTTTTGACATTTTGGTCAGAAGCTGGCATAGCCTGCTGGAGGTCCCAGCAGCAGGACTGGTATCTGCCAGAGCCTTGTAGGGCTCTGGCAGATACCGGTCCTGCTGCTGGGTTGATGCCCTTCTACAGCCCTGTCCAGCTCTCCTCATGTGACAGCTGGTCTCTTGGTACCTCCTCCATGTCCTTGAGACTGTGCTGGGAGACACAGCAAACCTTCTTGCAACCATACATATGGATGTGCCATCTTGGAGGAGCTGGACTACCTGCGCAACCTGGTTGGGCTGCAGGTACTGCTTAATGCTACCAGTAGTGACAAGGACACTGGCAGAACACAAAACTAGAGAAGAATCAGTCAGGAAGGATAAGGAGAGAGCAACTGTCTGTGGCCACCATGTGTAAAACCATTCCTTTTTGGGGCTTGTCTTGCTCTTGCCTCTCCATTGCACCTGTTGTCAATTTAATTTGCACCAAAGCAGGTGAAACTGATTCATAATCACGTGTGCTTCCTAAATGGACAGATTGATATCCCTGAAGTTTAACTGACTTGGTGTTTTACTGTGACAATTGAATTTTCATTTAATTTTTTGAGCAGTGTTTGTAACAGTACTGCTGTGTGTTTGACCTGTGTGAGGTAGCGGATCTGGCTGCTCAGTTCGCTCTCCACTCGGTTGACAGAGCTCTGGAACTGGACCAGCTGTCTGTCCAGGAGGCTGGCATTGTGTTTGTCTTTGGAGAGTTCCAGAACTATATTACCTGCCAGGGAAACACACAACGACATAAAGATGTATCAGTTTTATGACTAAAAATGTTAACAATGTCAGAAACATAATTGCACACTGCTATACAATTAGTTAACACAATCTATTGTGTTTTTGGCTACTAAGGGGTAGCAAAACAAGCTCTAAACACAAATTCCGACATATTGTAAACCTGTGAAGTTGATATGGTGAACATGTTAGCAAACAGTTGGCTGTTGACACATCCAGCAAACACAGAGCAACATTATCCTTTATTTGGAATCAGGATTGAGTCCACTCTCTTTAACAAGTAAATAAATAATATTGATTGGCTTTCAAAAACATATTTTCTTATGTAATTAATTAACCTATTTGGGGGCCTTAGAGCAACAATTTGCCCCAGATGATGACTCAGAAACTAGGGCTGGTCGATATCGACAAAATCAAATACCATGAAAGTTTCAACAAAATACTGTGATATCGAAATCATAGGTAGGGGTGTGCAATATCATCTTGTTCACAATAATACCAGTAAAATATTCAATATGATATGAAAAATTCATATAGTGATACTCACAATAGTTTGACTTGTTGACATATTAATGTCATACTGTTACCAAGCAAAATTATTAGAGACTGTGTGGTGGTTCCAAAAAGAGGAGCAGCTTCAGTAGTGTGAAATAATCTGTGGCGTCCTTAATGTTTTATGAACAGCCCTGGAATTCTCAGACTCTTTTAGTGACTTACCGCTCAGAGGGAACTCATTCAGTGGCTCCTCTGGCAGCAGCACAGCGTCTCTGCCTCTCCTCTCACCATGAACACACAGGAGTCAATGTCATCAAGTGATTTTGTCATAAACCTTTGGTAATGTAAACCTACGTGACTCTCACAGCTCAACACAAAAACTACTGATTGTGAATGTGTGATAGTTATGGGATCATAACAGCCTGTCACAGGTTACAGCATGATGATTAGAGGAGAAATGGCAGAGCATAAAAGTCCAGGTGGGAAAAAAAATCAACTCAATCATTTAGGATTTGCTATAAGAGAAGGAAATCACCCGTTGATTTATATACTGTAGATTCCTGGGAACATTTTTGTATTTGGGAGCTGTTTAAATGTGTAATTTGTGGTAGATTTTATTTTGATGAACTATTAATATTGTATACAGAATCTGAATCTCACTCTGAGTTACTGTTGTTTTCAAACTAAAGAAATGAGAGATCATTTTTGTTTAGTATTTACTGAATATTTGAAGGCAAACTGTTTTTTATTTATTTATTTTTTTTACTAATATGTCATATCGTCAAAAAAATACCCTGAAATATTATGATATTATTTTAGGGCCATATTGCCCACCCCTAATTTGTATGATCCACTCTTGGTGCCTTCACAAAATATTTCCACAATGAGATTTTTGAGAAATAATCATCTGTGATGTGGATTCAATGTCTAAGTGGGTGAAGGCGAATAATAGAACAACTAGAACAGTCTGGTAAATTCAGAAAATTACATCAATTTACTGTGATGCAGCTTTTAAAATCAGGAAAAGGCAACACTAACCATATTACAATATACAACATTAAGGCGATATCTAGGCTCATATCACAATATCGATACAATATCAATAAATTCCCAAACCCTACCAGACAACAACCAGTATACCTATGCTGCGGTTCAACTTGGCCCCAGATTTTGCCCCACATTTTGCAGCAAGACTCCTCACTGGTACCAGGAAGAGACCTATCACCCCGCTACTGGCCTCTCTCCACTAGTTACCAGTGAAGTACAGAATTGATTTTAAAATAGTTTGATTTGTTTTTAGAGCACACACCTGCTTACATCTCTGAGCTGCTCATCCCCTATTCCACCTCCCAACCCGTCAGATCTGGTGACCAGTCACTGCTCGCCTTCGTGTACCCAGTTAAAAACTGAAGGTGATGGAGCATTCTCAGTTGTTGGTCCTAAGATGTGGAATAGTCTCCCACTTACAGTTAGATCTTCCCCCTCTACTGATACGTTTAAAACCCATCTTAAGACCCAAGTCTTTTTATTTAGCCTTTTAATTACATTAGTATGACAAACCTAACCTTTTGCATTTTGTTGTTTGTGCAATTTTTTTTCCTGTTATGATCTTGTCAAAATATTGTACGCTCTTATTGATTTTATTTACATTTTCCTATTTATGTGAAGCACTTTGGTCAGCATACTGTTTAAATGTTCTACATACATTTATCTGACTTGACAGTTTGATTAAAATCGTCCTCACCGGCACACTGCAGTATCATCGCTATCTCCTTCTCCACATCCTCCAGAGCTCTGAGCCGCTCATTCGCCATGAGTAGACAGGAACCAGCTCCAACCAGCTGCTCTCCAATAAGTTCGACTGGAACTGTTCGTCCACACAGTCAGGTACAGACAGAAGTAACTCAAACTCTACTAGATGTTTCACTATATCCACCTCTACAAGAGTGAAGCGCGAGGGTTGAACGCCTGAAGTTGCACCACAACAAAGAGGTCGCCAAACCGACGTCACTTCGTCGCATTCTTGTGACGTTCGCCTGGCAAGCGAGGCAAGATGGCTGCATCGGCTTGGCTGCGTGGCCCATCAGCGATGCGACTAACCGAGGGTTTGGTGTCGGTTCTGAAAGAACAGCGTCCGGAGTATTTACCTGCTCTGTTGGCCAACTACAGGGAGCATGGCGTGTTTCAGACACAGGTAGAGCCCGGCCCGGAGACGCACGTTAGCTCTGAAGCTAGTTACCTGTTAGCCTGCTGTGGCTGTGCTGCATCCGCTGCACGCTTTGTTGTTCCCTGAGCTGACATCTGGAGATCCAGCAGGGCTCAGCTGCTGCTCTGCTCCTTAAACACCTTATCTTTGTTTATCTCTGCAGGGCGCGAGCGCCGTCGGAGGTCTCGTGGGTTTCAGCAATGCCAAACTGGGTTCGAGCAAGACCAGGTGAGAAAAGTCCATTTCATTCATATTATCTCTAATCAAATTATTCACACAATAGACCAACATGGTAAAACTACAGTACTGACACCCTGTATGACCAAAGTATAGATACAAAATGAGTGTTTCTTGTCACCATTATACTTATGATACCAATGGTAAGGTTATTGTAATGTTATAGTACCATTCTTGAGTATGTTGGTATTATGTTTAAGTTACAGTCAGTTTTGCCGCTCTCTAATAAAGTTGCCATATGTAATAATTGCCAAGCTTGATAATTAAAACACTTTCCACTGAAAAACATTGAAGGGAGCATATTAGGGCTTGTTAAGGACGCAGTATTGTAGGGGTGGGGAAAAATCGATAAGTTACAGCATAGAATCGCAATATTTTGTGTGGCTATATCATATGGTCACACAGCGTCAAGTAGGCCTATTGATTTTTTAATTACATAAATGTTTCATATTACAAATACGTTTTGCTGCTACAAAAAATGGCTGAAGTGATATGAACAGACTGAAAAAAAAGGTAATAAATTGCAATATATCGTAATATTCAACACATCGCGACTAGGGGTGTGCCATATCCTATTGTTCACAATAATACAGGTATACTTTTTAATATCGTATGAAAAATTTATATTGTGATACTTGCGATATTTCGACTTGTTGACATATTGATGTCATACTGTTATCCATGACTACAACAAGCATGGCTGAAAGCAAAATTATTAGCAATTCTGTGGTCAATCCAAAAAGAGGAGCAGCTTCAGTAGTGTGGAATAAACTGTGGCGTCCTGAATGGTTTATGAACAGCTCTGGACCTCTCAGACTCTTTTAGCGACTTACTGTTCAGAGGGAACTCATTCAGCGGCTCCTCTGGAAGCAAAGGAATGAAAATGGAGGGATCATTGTTGGTTAAACAAACGTTTTATAACTATATTTGAAACTTGAAACGATATTTAATGGAAGTATGTGTAAAAAGTCTCCACTTTGAAAATATAAAATAGATAATTAATATTTAAAGTAGAGATTTTCTGTCCAGTTGCATTTTTTTTTTCCAATACCGTACTGATAAACAAATGTACACAACACGATAACCATCAATTTTAATATCACGGTATACCTTGAGACCAGTATACCATTGCAACCCTTCTTGCATTGATGTGAACTGGCAAGTTTTTAGAACATCGCAGAATGGCACATTGCAAGTCACAAGTGTATTCAGTAGGGATGCACGATAATAATGGCACATCATCAGTATCGGCTAATATTAGCTCCAAAATTAACTATCAGAATCGACCAACATGATTTCAATTATTTTACACAATGAATGGATATTACATACATTGATTGAAGAATATTGTATTTCATGTCTCCATCTGCTGGTGGGCCATCACGATAAGAGTATGCATGCATAATATGATATTAATTCCACTACAGAACAGGCTTGATGATCAATAAAATTAGGTGGGTAAGAAGTGGATATGTCGATATCAGTATTAGTTATCGACCTAATGAGTTGTTATATATCTGCATATCGGAGATCTGCAAAAAATCCAATACCTTGCATCCCTAGTGTTCAGGCATACAGCGTGGAAAAAAAATAACATTAAATCATGTAAACATGTTCCTGTAAAAGCCCAGAATACAAGCATGAACCAGGAAATGAGCATAATGTGGAACCTTTAATGTCTCAGTTAGGTACTGTGACATGTGAACAACTTATCCAGGTTGGCCATCACTATCTGCCCAGATGCTTGCTCATCAAAATGCACAGTAGTTTTAAATAAGTAAAACAAAAAATATTTTGATAAAAGTGTGAAATGCTGAAATGATAGTAAAAGTCTGACACAAGAGAAAATGAAAGAAAATTCTATAACTGCTCCTGTCTTCCTGATCAGTTGATAAAGTTCAATCAAAGCAGGGAGGTAAATGTTTTGATTGCTGAAGTAAACTGACAATAAGACTCAAAACCAGAGGTACTACTGGGGTGGATGAAAGTAACCTCTACAAAACTTGAACATTAGGGCCTCTAGTTTTGCAGACTGGGCGCAGCGGGGGCGCAGCGCACCTGCGCTTCGCCAACTGGGTGTGGCCAGGTGGATTTTGTAAGTTTGGCACACCGTGCACCCTGGCGCAGCTACTCCTCTTTTCCACCTCCGTCCCTCATACCTGCGCAAGTCGGAAAGAGGGAGGAGAGAAGGCGTGGAGTGGGTTTTACACACATCACACCAATCAAATGAGCCCCTCTCCTCGCCTTTAAATGGGCCGTGAAGGTGTAATGAGAGTTTACTCAATTCGCCATGGCAGAAGAGAGCAGCAGCATCAGACAGCCAAACTTCTCTCAGGAGGAAACTGATGTTTTGGTCCGGGAGGTCCAAGCTCGCAGTGTCCGAATATACAGAACTGCAAGCAGACCTCCACGGGCTGATGATGCAAAGGTAGCCTGGGAGGAGGTCACCACAATTGTAAATCAATGTTGCGTTTCTCTCGTGCGCGTGCTCTCTCTTTCTCTCTCGCAGTCTCACTCTGTTTCTTTTCTTTTGACTTTTCTAAGATGACAGATGCTGAATATATACTCCCTATCTGATGCCGTGGCTGTTTGTGGTTGGCTGAGAGGGGCGTGAACTCATTAGTTTGCAGCTGTGTTAATCAAATCAGGTTGGGTTTCCATTACGCGTGCCAAACGTGCCAAACGTGCCAAACGGTGCCAATCCCCTTTGATCTGACATCAGATGTGACAGGACAGTCGATATAGAGATACATTTATGTGCTGATTGCAGATAGTTGCATTGAATAGTGGTTTTATGGCTATTTATTGCATTGTTAATGTGCCTGATATTCTGGAAACCTGCCTGAAATGTGCCTGCCACCTGCACTGCGCCGGGAAACTAGAGCCTAAGAAGTCACCCACAAAATGACTTGCTTTAGTAAAGGAACTATCTTATCAAAAAATAAGTAAAGGCCATGTGATGCTGGTCAGTTCCTAAAAAGTACTGATGTTCAGTATTGGCACAATCAGGAGATTTTTGGATGAAAATGAAAATGGATGAAAATCAGCAGCAATAAATCTGAACCAAATCACACTAGATAATATTAAAAACATTTTCCTCTTTCAAAATTGCTTGTTATATGAATCATTTCCTATACATACCCAATAGGGGTGGGAATCGCTAGAGGATCCATGATACTATATTATCACGATACTTAATTCACCACACATTATTGCGATTTTAAATATGTTGCAATATGCTAAGTATTGTGATAAAATATGTTGTGCTATCAACTGCAAATTATGTCATCAAAGGGAAATATTGTCAACATCTATTTTATCTAATAACATAAGGTTTTCAGTCTGTTCATCTCACTTCAGCCATTTTTATTGCAGCTAAATGTATGTTGTGGACTGAAAAAGTAATTGATAATATTATTCTAGTAGGCTACCTAATGGTTAATTTGTATTTGTAGTACTAATAACTTGTATATTTAAAAAATCAATACTTGGCACTGTGAAGATTCAAAAAATTTAAGATAAATGCTTTGATTTGATTTGATTTCAGGATATGTCCTCATTCCGTCAATTTTACAAAGTTGAGATAAATATTATATATGAAGAAACGAGTAAATTTGTGAAAGCTGCGGCCACAGGCATGCATACCCCCCCCCCCCCCCCCAAATGCCACACCCTCTTTAAGCCAATGGACATGAGCACACACACACAGACACACACACACACTTGACCTCCACGCCAAATTTCTGCTTCCTAGGGCGAAAATTGTGGAAAATTCCACAACCTAAACAAATGGTATGGAAATTTTTGTGGACTGACAGATTAACAGAGGGAGCTATAGAGCTGCTGGTTGCAGCTAAAAAATATAATATTAGAATATATTTAATAAGTACAAGTTATCGTACCAATAAAAGTAATGTCAATAACACAGAATTAGAAATACTTCATTGATTCCTGCGGGGAAAGTGTAATTTGTTACAGATGCTCTAATGTAAAGAAAAGAGAATTATAAGAAGTAAGAATAAAAGTAGGTAAATATAAGTAAGAATATAAAATTATGCTACAAAGTTTAACACTAGTACTTAGGATGTTGAGAATAAAAATATGTTCACTGTCTGTAAGTGTCTAAAAATACACAAATATGTGCATTAACACAAATCTGTGGTGTTACACTGAATAACTCTTTGTGCAAGGTAACTGAAAACTGTGAATGCAATGATAGGAGGGTTATAGTCATAGTATAAAGACTAAATCTCTGTTTCTCGTGTGTGTGTGTGTGTGTGCGCGCGCGTGCGTGTGCGCGTTCGTGCAGGTTTGAGGGGCTCTGCCTGCTCTCCATGCTGGTTAAGGACAGCTCCAGTGATCTGTTCCAGCAACACTGCGTTTCCTGGCTGCGCTCCCTGCAGCAGGTCATACAGGTATGATGCACACACA